CCCCCAAATCCCCATAACCCCTCCAACTCCCCAGAGCCCCTATGGTGGGGGCACTCATAGCTGCCTTCCAGGGTCTCCCCCTTTTGCTCTGGGGGGCGGGAGACCCCCAAAGTGGGCCCCCCCCGAGTTGGGGTGTGGGAGGGTCAGAGACTGACAGAGCAAAGCTATTGCCTTAAGCTGGGGGAGGGTCCAGGGACCCCTCCCCCCTTCCAAACTCAGCTTCAGCCAAAGCCCCCCAGCCCCCGCTGCCCCCCCCTTGTATTGAGAGGAATTTTAAGAGGGGCAGCCCCTCCTCCCCCCAAATTAACACTCCTGGGTTGCCCCCCCTAAATACCCCCCTGAGGGTTTATTTATTGGACACAGGGTGGATTCTGGAGGGGGGGGGAACCCCCATTATCCCCCCCCAGACATTCCCCCTCCCAGTTTGGGGGGGCCCATTTATATGTTGTTGGGCGTGGGGGGACCCCAAAATTCCTCCCCCTGTCCTCTTCCCTATACACTACAGAGACCAAAGATGGGGGGACACAAGATGACTCCCCCAACTTCCCTCCTATTTTGGGGGGTTCTCAAGCCATAGGGTGACCCCAGTACCCACCCAGGGCAGCTTTGGGGGGGGACACACCCCCAAATATGTTACCCCCCCCAAGTCTGGCTGGGTGGGGGGGCCAGGCTTGCTGCCACCCCCCTAAATTTGCCCCCCCCCCCACTTGGGTGGGGTCTGTTACACTACGGGGGGGTGGTGACCCTTCCCCCCAGGGCAGCACTTTCACCCCCCCTTTATTTATTCCTCTGCGTTTACATTGGGCCCCTGCCATTTTTAGGGGGCCCCCCTGCCGCTGCCGCTGCCCCCCCCCCCGCTAGCCATCCCCTGTTTTTGGGGGGCCCCCCAGCCATGTTTACAGCCCTCCCCCACTCCCCCTGTGCTGAGGGGAGGTCTCGGGACTTTTCTATTTTTGCAAAATAAAGTGATGGAAATTTTTTTGGGGGGGATTGTGAATTTGGGGGGGGCAAAGGGGGGTCTAGGAGGGGGAGGGGAGGCTTGGGACACCCCCTGAGGTGATGGGGGGCACCAATGGGGCGGAGGTGGGGGCACTCCTGGGTTATTTTGGGGGGGCCACTTAGGAGCCCCCCCCATTGCGACCTCCCTTTGGGGATAAGGGGGGGCATTGGGAACCCCCCAAACTTGGGGACTCCCCCAGAGATAAAGGGGGGGTCACTTGGGAACCTTTCTCCAGGGATAAGGGGGGGCACCCCTGGGGTATTTGGGGGGGTGTTTGGGGACCCCCCCCTCCAGTTTAATGATTCTCCCCCCATTTTTGGGGTTTGGGGGGGGGAGGCACAAATAGGTTCTGGGGGTCCCTCCAAATACCACTTCCCTGCCCCCGAAGAAACCAAATTTAGGTTAAAAAAAGCAAAACCCCAAAGTTTTATTTAAATAAACCCTAAAGGAAGGGGGGGGCACACGGGGGGTGGGGGGAGGAAAGGACGACATTTTGGGGACACGGGTGGGGGACATGAAATTTGGGGACCCTTAGAAAAAACTACCGTTTAAAAGTGACTCCCCCCCACCCCGGGGGTGACCCCCGACCACCCCCTCCCCATAGCAAAATAACTGTAATAAACCCCAAAACCCCAACAAAACACCCCAAAAATGAATCTGGGGAGGGTGGAGGGGTGGTGTGTGTGTGTGACCACCCCCTGGGTTTGGGGGGGCCCCAAAACCCCCCCAGAATCCCCCAACCTCCCCCCCAAACCACCCCCTGGAGCCCTCAAACCACCCCCCGACCCCCAAATTTAGGGAGGGGGGGTGCTCAGCAGAGCCAAAGCCTTTTTTGAAGCATCACTAGGGGGGTTGTCCCCAAAGTCCTGCAGGTCCAGAAAGAGAGGTCACGGCACCCAAAAAAGGGGGGCCCCAAAATTCATCAGCTTTGTCCCCCCTTGGAGCAGTCTGTGACTGGGGGAGGCATGAGACCCCCAAAATGTGGGGGGGAACACTGGGGGAGACCCCCAGAGTTTTCTGGGGTGTCCTGGATCTTCCAACCGCTCCCCCTCAGCAGAGCCATGGTTTTCCCACCCCAGAGAACGCGGTTTTCTGGGATTTTCCTCCCCCTGGGAATGGGGTTTTCTGGGAAATGGGGGTCCCTTCGCCCCCCCCCCCCCTCCAGATGCAGCCCCCCCCACAGGTGCAGGGGGAGGCACAGGGAGCCCCCCCAAAACCACGTGGAAACAGGGGAAACGTCCCCGAAATCCACAGGAATTCCAGAGGGAATGGGAAGTGCTGCCGAGTCCCAAAACAGGGACACCCCCAAATTCCTCATTCTCTTCCTGTTTTCCATAAAAAGGGGGAATTTGCTACCCCTCCGAAGCCGAGACACCCCCCAAAATCCTCAGTTTTCCTCCTTTTTCCCCCCAGAAAAGCAGGATTGTAGATGTCATTCCCAGCGAAACCCTCCTACCTGTGTCCTAGGTACCCCAAACCTGCTGGGATTTGGGGCAGTTTGGGGGCTCCCAGTCTGTCCTATGGGGGAATGTGGGGTGGATTTAGGGATCCAACGATGAGGAGGGCACAGCTTGAAGATTCCAGGAGGATTTTTGGGCTCATTATCCCAGTTTTTAGGCCAGAAGGGTGGGAAAGCTCCGAGTTTTTCACACTGGGAACGCTCCAGGTTTTTTTAGGAGTTCTCAGCTCAGGGTGAAAAATCCGGGTGAAGCAGAGGATGCAGAGGGTGGGGGGTGCAGGAGGGAGGCTCCCCCTTCCTCCAGCACCCCCAGAATTCCCAGAATTCCTAGAATTTCACAGCAGGAGCTGGGAGTCAGGGGGGGTCTTGCCCTGGCAGCCCTGGCACATCCGCTTGTGCCGCAGGAGCCGGTCCGTGCGGGAGAAACTCTGCGGGATAGAGGGGATTAGGGTTGGAATTTGGGGTGGGGGCACTTCTGGGGGTTTCCAAGGGAATTCCAGGTGGGATTTCCCATGGAATTACCTGCATGCAGCGCTCGCACTGGTAGGGCTTCTCCCCACTGTGCACCCGCTTGTGCCGCTCCAGGTGGTACTTCTGGATGAAGCGCATGTCACACACGTCGCACTCAAAGGGCTTCTCCCCTAAAGTGACGGGGAGTTGGGGGGGTAATTAGCACCCCCAGGGGTAATTAGGGGGTGTGGGAATGGAGGAGGAAGGGGGGAGTTGTGAGATTAAGGGGTGGTTGGGATTGGGGAGGGAGGGAGCACAGGTCACACTCAAAGGGCTTCTCCCCTAAACTGGGGGGGATCCAGGGGGTTAATTAACACCTAACTGGGGGGGAATCGGGATGGAGGGGGGAGGAGAGGGCTAATTAAGGCTGTGAGGGGTTAATTAGGGTGTGTTAATTGGTGCCCCCACCGGTGTGGATGAGGATGTGCCGTTTGAGGTGGTAACTGCTCCGAAAGGCCCCAAAACAGTGGTCGCAGATGAAGTTCTTGAGCTGGAAGGACCCGTTTTGCTCGATCACCACCATCTACAAACCATGGGGGGATAGAGATTGGGGGGGCTCAGAGCCGGGGGGGCCCCCAGCAGCCCCACCCAAATCCCCCCCCCGGCCGTCCTGCGCCTGCCGGAGTTTGGGAGATTCTCTTCCTCCTCCTCCTCCTCCTGGGGGGCGGCGGCAAACCTGGGACTGGGAGCGGCGGGATGAGCTCGGGGGTCCCTCGGCGCTGGGAACCCGCTTGCGGCGCTGCCGGGGGGG